TCTGGCAGCGAATTTAATATGTATCATTTCTGGGCACCTTCGGGGCCCAGAAGCTGATCCGTTATTGGCTGCTTCGCATCCACTAACTATATATTATTTTGGCACAGTAACAATTATGGCGTTCAACACCCATGGTGCAGTTTAGTAAATCCAAACAATAATGATTAAGAATATTAATATTACACTAAATATTGCTGATATTCGATCCACTTCGATATCCCATTGTGTATAGTAGTGTATCTAAGAAATCCGAGCTTGTCGTTTATATTTAACTGAATTTTACTCTCTGGAACCCAATAACCTTGAGGATTAGCATAAGACTGGCCATAAGATATATTACTGGTTATTTATAAAATTATGATTTATTAATAGATCGATGTTGATAATATTATAAAATACTTATTGTCAACCATACCTTATACGATTGCCGCTCCAATCAATGACCTGTCCCAATTCCTCATAAGTTCTAAGACCAGAAGAGTTGTTAATTTTATAATAATTTACAAGAATAAATGGTTGTTGTAAGGGAAATATTGTGATAGGATTCACTAATAATCCATTTATATCATTAAAAAGGCAGTAATTAATCGAATCTAAATCTAAATCGTCATTAATTTCTATAACGGTTCCGTTTAATTGAATAACTCTTATACGTAATATCGGTTCTAAACTAGTTCCGTTTATACTTGAACAATTAGCTGTCTGTATACCGTCTCGAATTATATGAACGAGAGTTGTTCCATCTTCATAAGTTTGAATGTTTACTACTTTAGGTTCATTTTGAGGAAATTCAGTATCTGTTGTATTTTCTGTGTAATTAAAGAAGGACAATTGTGATGCCTGTGATTTCGCCGATGGTATGAATAAGCAAAGTGATATTATGAATAAGCACTTTGCTGGAATGTTGTAAGAGAGTTTCATCGCGAATTGCTTTTATGCTTGATTACTGTATTAGAACTTTTATGTATCATATGGAAAAAAAAAATCACTGATACAATTATGAAAGTCCGATTGATGGTTTTCTAAATATTTTAATAGTTAATTTAAATATGATATTAAAAAAACTCTCGAAGAAAAGATTTAAAAGATTTGAACTAAAAATAACGTTTATATCTCGTCTGATATTTTTAACACTAAACACATATGGCAATAATCTCCATTTGATAGTTGCTTTTAAATAATGATTTTTCTAGCAGATTACCCATATAAATATATTTTTTATAAACCGTATATAAATTTCATATAAATAACCCCTATTGTATGGCCGATCATCTTTCACTTTTTTTATTTTAAAGATCTAAATGAAATTATAAATGCTTTCAACGGAAAAATAAAAAAAATAAAAAAATTACATAACAGAAAGCTGAGAACGAGAGCTTAAACCTAACTCGGAGCGCTAATAAAAAATCCCATATGCTAAACTCAACTTCAACTAGTTTTACCCCAATTTGAATTACTTCGTTTTAGTTCACTTCCAAATAAGGAAATTTGAAAAGTGGATCGGTAATACGTATCATACGAAAATTATTAGGGTTGGTCAGGTGATCTTATATAAGTATTATGAATCAATGATCTACAACTACGTATTGTTGAAGTTTCGCCTATTTCCAGATTTTGAAACTACAACATGCAATATTTGAAAAAAAATTTTTTATTTGAAAAAGAGGCTAATGCTATTACTGTAACATAATGTTGCTGAAGTGTACTATATGTAGTATAGTGATTGGACCCGTCAAAAAAAAATGCCACCCGGGGCACCCGCGGGTGGACCCATGAGCCACCCGGGTAGAACCCGGGTGGGTTAAAAAAG